AACAAAATACAATACTTCACTTAAAACGTAATCAAGTAAAATTTAAATTACCGATTTTAAAAACTACTTGAAAAATACAAAATACACAAAAAACCTACTCAATGCAGTAACTTGAGTAAATGTATTTCGTTACTTTCCACCTCTGGCAGCCATAAAAGGGAGACCTTCTGTACCTGACTGCTGTCAGAGCAGTTTCTATTGCCTCCTGTATCTGATGGCCTACAGCTGCATGTTCCTCTGGGATAGGGACTGCTATCAGAACACCGCTTTGAAGACCAAGAGACAAAGCACTTGCTAATAAAACAAAAAAAGACATAGAACATAAAATCATAACATAAACTTGTTGAAAAGACAGCTGCATACTCAGTTTGTGTAGATTAATCATCGACTTTACTATGATAAATTAATTATTTTAACCATTCATTCTCCATTGTGGACTCAGATACAGAAGTAGATATAGATATAGACTGATAGAGAAGTAACACAAACACTTGAGGTATCATATGTATCAAATTATACATAGACACTCAGATATGTAATCTTTGATATGTCTGTCTCCCTTGAAATGCTTCAGCTGTATCTAGCCGCCAAAATTCTGCTTTTATGATTTTGTTTGGACATCTGACTACACTACTTGGCAAAATTAGTGTAGCATAACTGGTTGATGCTTTACCAATAAGGTCTGCAGCCTCGTCAGGATTGTGGACATTACAAGCAGAGGTAAATCCACTGTTTGGCGTGAAAAACGCAGGGAAATTCTTAGATGCTCCAAAAGTTGAAACACACACTCCTTGTGTCTCCTATTTGCAGACAGATAAGGAGAAAAGGAAAAGCAGAAAGAATGTTTGGTTTGATGTTACAAATCAACTAAACATCTTGTAGATTTTTATCAGGAGCGGTCCAACACTTCTTACAAGAAACTCCAGGGTACGGGCAATGTCCAGGACAGACTTGACTCCGGCAGAAATGACAGCAATTGGAGTTCTGCCGAGCTCTGTTAGATCTGCACTGATGTCCAGACCTTGAAAAAAGATAATTTAGTCCCAGTAATAAATATTAGGATTTGTCTTTAGATAAACACTAAACCATGGTATTCACATAGGTTCAGTTATCTCAATTCATGAGTTTTTCCTGTCTTTAAACCAGTCCATTAATGACCTTTGTTTTAATATTTTCTTCTCCATAAACCTATCTTAGAATACCCTATTAAATAATATAAAGCTGCAACCTTTATTCCTTGTTAGTGACACTGATGTTAGCTGTTATTTTGCAGTGAATTACAAGCCACTTACTGTTCTGGCCATCTCTGTGAACTCCTCCAATGCCTCCTGTGACAAAAACAGGAATCCCAGCTCTGTGTGCTGCTATCATGGTGGCTGAGACCGTTGTTCCCCCAGAAAGACCCTGATAAATATTGACACATATTGGATGATTTTCAGTCTAACTGATATTAGAACAGATTTAAAGATCAGGATGTCAACTGAAAGCTTTACATGCAACACTCTGCTGAAAGCTTCAAATGTTATTACATTTTATTAACATTAAAACCAAGTTAAAATGCATTTAATTTAGATTTTATGTGACAGATAAACAAAAAGCAGGACATTATTGTAATGTAGAATAAAAAAGACAAGTTTGAACTGAACAATTGTTGGACATGAAAAACGCAAAATAGTTCCTTTTCTTTCTTCTCCCCTGAGTAAATACTTTGAAGGACAACCTTCTGTTCTTTTGTTCTTTTTGTTCTATTTCTGTTGCATTTTTTTTTTACATCTTTGCACAGCTTTGCTCAAGTTCTACACTGAAAAAAATTATCTAGAAATAAGTCAAAATTTCTTAAATTAAGTGTATTTAACTTTAATTTGAGTAGGAAAATGAGATAGTTTGCCAATGGAAGGAGTATTTTTAACTCTTAAAATAAGATAATTAGATCATATGGACTTGAAATAAGACAATACAATCGTGTTTTCTTATTTCAAATCTAAATTGTCTTGTTCCATTGGCAAAATGTCCATTTTACCACCTCAATCCAAGAACAAATGCACTTATTTTCAGAAAAAAATACTTATACAGATTTAGATTTTTTTTCCAGTGTATCAGCTTGCATGCAACTTTAACTTGACTGCAACTGGATTTAGGTCTAACACATAATTAAGTGTTGATGTAAACCATTCCACCGTAGTTATGTTTGAATGTTAGATGCATTCAGTCTTAACATCTTTTGTGGCTTTTAACTTGAGTTCTTCCAGGATTGCGTTGAAGCTCTATCCATCTTTTCGACAGCTCTGAAGAAAACCATCCTGACAGCATGATGCTGCTGCCATCGCTTGTTTTTTTTTTTTCCAAGTGTGTCAAATCTTTTCCATGTCCAGATTATAGATGAAACAGTGTTCCATACCTCCAAATATCTTATCATTTTTTCTTTCAAGTCTAGACATCTCTATCAAAAAACAGCTTATTAAGGCAAACAGCTGCACTATATTTTATTTAGAGGCAATAGAGTAAAAGCGGCTAAACAGATATATATGCTAAAATCTTCAAACTTTTGTCTCATTCTTTTTCCAAATTACCATTATACATCACTTTTTGTTGATCTTCCACTGAACATCTATAAAATGTGTTAAAGTTTGTGGTAGTAACAAGACTAGATGTGAACTTTATAGTTCGATCTACTATGTTCAAGATTGAAGAGTCTCAGCCTCACTTTGCTAATCACATAAGGGAGATCCCGTCGCGAAACCTTCAGAGGGGTTTTGTACTGAGCGAGGTAGTCAAGCTCCTCTGATGACAGTCCGACACGGATCTCCCCGTCGATGATGCCGATCGTGGCAGGAATGGCTCCTTCAGCTCGCACTATGGCTTCAACCTCCTTTGCAGTGCTGGACAGAAACAGCATCCAAGCTTATGATACTTAAACTCTTTTTGTATACTCTACACATCTTAATTTGAGTTTTTTATCTTGATGTCTTCTGCTGCACCTTAGGTTGTGTGGAAAGGGCATGCCATGTGTGATAATAGTGCTCTCAAGTGCAACCACTGGACTGTTTTGCTCCACAGCGTGAGACACAGTTGGATGGACTTTGAAGAGGAAATCTAAAAGAGGTGAAATCATCCTTAGCATGACCAGCTTTTTATTAACAATGTTAAAGTGCATATTTGTCATGCTACAGGCTTAATGAAGAAGCGTATTTACCTTTGGTGCTAACAGTATTCTGATAAGTCCCAGCTTCCCGCTTGAGAATGAGCTGGAAGACTTTCTTCAGGATCCTCATTCTGCACAGATTAACGCAAAAAAATATGCACACTTAGAATGAAGTATTCCAGCCTTCTGATTATTCTAAGTAAATTACATTTGAGGCAAAGAAAGCCCAGATCTTGCACTGTAAAATGGCTTGGATCAAACACAGCAATCCAACCGAAGATATTATAATGCAAACCGAGAAATGAGAAATGGCCTGTTTTTATATAGCATTTTACAAGTCAGGAGACTCGACCAAAGCTCTGTACAATTGTTCAGGTTTTCACCCGTTAACTCACACATTGATGGTGGTGAGCTACATTGTAACCACAGCTGCCCTGGGGCTCACTGACCAAAACAAGGCTGCAGTACACTGACGCCACACATGACCACCATCAGTAGGCAATGGAGGTGAAGTGTCTCACCTGTTAGGTTCATGTTTTATACATCATTTGCACTGTTACTTTGTTAGCCAGATTAGAGAGAGTAGATGGCCTTCCTTCACGATGTCACTGTGTGTATGGAGGTCATCTAAATAGGACAGAGTTCTTGCCTTTTAAAGAAACACAGGATATGGGCACCTCTTGGAGCCGGACTGATAGAGGAGAGCTATCTGTAATCCTGAGGCATAGAGGCAAGCTGCACATAGGTCAGGGCATTGATGGCGTGTCAGTTTCTGATACGGACAGCTAAGCATCCACCTGATGCAACACATAGACACATAAGGTATAAGAAGCAGGAGATGACCTTGTTCGGGGCTCAATCTTTGCCGGACGCTCGCAGACGTGATTTTTGAGCCCACAGCTGTGCAACCTCCAAGCATTTTTCTCTGTCCTGTAACGACCTGATCTGGAATAAACTCTTGTTACTTTTTTACTCCTGTTTTTATAGTCCTTTTTACATGGTTTTACCCAGTTTGAGTTAAGAGTAGTAAATAACTCGCTCCCAGGAAAAGAACAGTGAGGAAGCCCCGAGGCGCAACGGCCTTTTTTAGGGGACATAACTTCCTCATTTAACACACCCAAGGACACAACAAAACTGAAAGCCAGAGCTTGAACTGACAACCCTCCGGTTGCAGGGCAAACTCATGCACCCAATGCCACTGTCACAAAGTTTAAGTATTTTAAAAATCGAAAGTCTAATTACAACAACAACAAAAAAATATATCTGTATTGATCAAAAGAAAGCACAACTTTACCTCAGGTTTTTCATGCATACAACATCTCTCTCTTTTAAGTAGATTCCCCTCCTTTAGTGTGGTTTTCTACAACCGGGTACAGATTGCTAACTGGCACAAACTCCCATCACCCTCTCCCCTTCTCTGGGGTTACTTTCACAAACTGGCCAAAACATGTCCAAACAAGAGCTCCTTTATTTCATCCAGCTCTATGGCATCCAACAACAACAACAGAAGGCATCTTAAATGCATTCGATGTAATTCAATAATCAGTACGTCTTCTTTTGAAAGTAGAGCAAACAAAAAGTAAAGCTGCTAGACAGACAAATCCTCCTTTAGGTTTCAATACACTTTTAGTTTTAAGGTAAAGAAAAATACCCTTTAGAAACTAGAATTGAAGAGACATAATTCGAAACAAACAAATGAGGTTTGAAAACAATGAGTGAATTTCAGAGAGAATGGATCTAAAGAAATCCTGAAATATATTATTTAGGAAGATTTCTATAGCTTTCCCCGACAGTAACCACTTCTTTGCATAATTCAGCCCATAATTAGAGACAGATTTAAAAAAAAATTAAAGTTGGAAGCTTACCTTTTCTAGTTCGGCAATAACCCAACAAACTTTGGTCAGAGAGTTAAACTTTGACCCAAACACTGTTTGCACAGCTAAAAACCATCAACCAGATCTCAACTGTCTGAGCAGCTTCAGGGCAAAAGACCACAATCACTGTTTTCATATGGAAAAAAGGAGAAACGGAGAAACAAATAGGAAGAACTTAGCATACATGTTTGAGTAGGATATGTCCATATGATGTTTAGATCGAAATATTATTCTAAATAATTTTTACTAAGTTTATTTCTGAATGTAAATAAGAGCATTTCCTAAAATATAGTAAAATTATAGAATAATAATTTCAAAATAAAAAGAGGAAAAATCAGAGTTAATATCTGTTCAGGCTTTGTTTTTTACTTTCTTTCTACTTTCCTGGGTTATCCACCACGCTTGGCATAGCTATGAAGAGTGCTTTAAAGCATTTGTGCATTGCAAGTACAAATCTTAAGTTTGAGAGAGAAATAAAACAGTTTTTTAAGTGTAGAAGAATTACTGGGGGAGTGTTGGCCTAGTGGTTTGAGCAGTTCCCTGAGAAGGCTGTACTTATCCGGTTCAGTCTCCACAGGGTCCACTCTGGGGATTACTTTCCAGACGAGGTGGCCGAGTGGTTAAGGCGATGGACTGCTAATCCATTGTGCTCTGCACGCGTGGGTTCGAATCCCATCCTCGTCGCACTCTGAGTATTTTAGGAGCGAGTGGAAGCTTAGTGATTACGGCATAGCGTTTGGAAGCCTGAACTTCTGAGTTCGAGCCCAATTCCCGCAGACTGCCATGCTGAGTCTCTGAGCAAGACCCTTGACCCTTCACCTCCCCCACACTGCTCCCCACAATGACAGCGGTAGAGGCAAATTTACAATGTGAGATCCATAAAGGTCAAAGTTATGTTCTATTTAATTCCCAAGCCAGCTGGGAATACATTTTTCTGATACTTTAAGATCTGTATTGCCCTCCCCAGCAGGGGTGGTAAATATCTTATTTAATCAGATATTATTTCAGCTGTAATATATTGTCTATGAACACATGCCCTACTAGACGTGTGTTAGAACAATAAATGAAAGAGTGATTCGAACACTAATCATGGTCAAACAGTTAATTCTGCACATACATGGAATAAATTCAACTCAACTTCTGTTCAAAACATAAGAGTTTATTAACAAAAATCATTAAACTCCAAGTCAAACATAAACTACTTTGTACAAAGAGGAAGGGGGAACATGGTTAAAAACCATAGTACAGTTTAAGATGGATCTTGTGTTGAAAACCAAAGTTTATCTGGAGGAATTTGGGATATGATCAAATTAGCTTTTCACTAATTTAGAGCAATTGGAATGTTTCCAGACCAATTCACAATGCAAATCCATGAGGTCAATAAAACATTATTTGGCCAAATAATGTTTTATTAAATGATTTGCTTAATCAAGAACCAATAACCTTAAGTCAAATGATTCCATACCCTCTTTGAAATAGCTAGCAGCGAATAGACATCAGGATTCCACTAAATGACTCTTGGTCATACTTGGTAATGGAAATGTAATGAGCAAATGAGGAACACATGAACACTAATGTTATACCAGTGTTTAAAGCCTTAGTGAATTAAGCTTGTCCAAGCTTCAAATAACAACTCAACACATTTTACTATAGCGTAGCGTGCAGTCCATTCTGTAAGCTTCGTCTTTACTCATCAGTAAACACATGAAATGATTAACATCATCAAAAGACATATTGTTTGTTCTGTCCCTAATTAAGCCAGATCTGCAAACCTTTTTGTACATGTCCATTGGTAGCCTTGAGTTTCTATCCAGCAGGGATAAGCAGGCATGCTAAACAGCAAGACAGGCTCTCTCTGTCTCAGTGGCCCAGAGTAGGGGTCCTGTTTGTCTCAGTGGCTGACATAAAGGCAGGCTTTCTCGTTCAGTTGCAAATGGTCTGTTTTGCAGCAGTTTGGTTCTGAAAGGTTTTGACTTATACTGATTTATACTTCGAAACTAGGTCGTCTGTGTAGGGATCGCAGTGAACAAAAAGACGTCCCCGCCCCCTCTGCAGACACTCCTCTGCATCTCTCCTAAATTGTAGCTGATCTCAGACAGTGCCGCAGACAGGAGGTCGACTTGTTTTGTTTTTATGAATGAAATTGCGGAAAACAACTCGTGAAGTTGGACCAGCTAGCAGAGCGAGGTGTGCGAGAATGCTGGGACCCTTTTTCCACCTGGATCCCTGTTATTTTTTGCCATCATGTCCCTCTGTTGACAGACAAACTCTCCCCCACTTCCTCACTGGCTCGGCCGTATCTAGACCCACAGCATATAGCACAGACCATGCTTCAATACTGGGCATAAATCAGAAATGTCTGCATTAAGCTCACTGCGACACATTGCTGCAGGAGTATAACCAGGCCTTTATCCTTGATGATTCTTGAGATCTGGGTCCCTATGGGCCTTGGATCTCCATTTCGCTGGAGATCCTGTAGAAGTGGACCCCAGCTTCATGGGCAAGAGAGGAGGCAAAAAGAGCAGGAGATCCGGTTTGTTCTGTGGTTTTGTCTTTCCTCAACACAGAGGGGGGTGGTTGGNATACTTTAAGTAAATTTACAAGCCTGTACTTTGTTACTTTTACTTGAGTAAAGAAGTTTAATCAGTACTTCCACTTTTACCAGAGTATTTTTCAACACAAGTGTCTGTACTTTTACTCAAGTACAGAAAGTGAGTACTTTTGCCATCTCTGGTTGACAGACAAACTCTCCCCCACTTCCTCACTGGCTCGGCAGTATCTAGACCCACAGCATATAGCGCAGATCATGCTTCAATACTGGGCATAAATCAAAAAAGTGCCTGCATCAAGCTCACTGCGACACATTGCTGCAGGATAATAACCAGCCTTTATCCTTGATGATTCTTGAGATCTGGGTCCCTATGGGCCTTGGATCTCCATTTCGCTGGAGATCCTGTAGAAGTGGACCCCAGCTTCATGGGCAAGAGAGGAGGCAAAAAGAGCAGGAGATCCGGTTTGTTCTGTGGTTTTGTCTTTCCTCAACACAGAGGGGGGTGGTTGGTCACACCTCTGTGGGAGTTTGTGTGACTGCTTTTGGAGGCCTTGGCTGAAAGGGGAGGGGGTTGCAGAGATCTTACTGCTGGTTATTCACCAACTGTATTCCCTTCTCTGGTCATCATTTTAAGATGAAACATGGATACTGGTTCCCAATGTCCAAAAAGCATGATCATGGCATATGGCACAACAAAATTATTAATACAAAACTTTTTTGTAACAAATTTTTTTGTAACTTTCACAGTTCTCTAAGGCATAAAAAAACTTTTAAATTTTCTGTTTTTTTTTCCAATTGATCCAAAACGGTGCTTTCAAAACTATTTGTGCATTGTGACTTTGGAGTTTTGTAATTGTAGTGCTTTCCTATCTTTCAAAATTACACCAAAAAAAAACAAAAAAAAACAATAGAAAATTGTTATCTCAACGAAAGCTAGTATTGATGATTATTATTTTATTGATTCAAAAATTGACAGTATTAAAGGAGCAAACAAGCAAGAGTACAGGATTAACAAAAACATTATAAGGAGATATAAAAATATAATAGGAATATAATAAGTGTAAGCTGAAAAAAGAAAATGAACAAAATAAATCAACTCTACAAAACAAGTACATTGTTTATTAGTATTAAATGTGTTAAGACTGATAGCATCAATTACACAAAACAGATTAAAAAAAACATTGGCAATAGACAGTTTAATAGCGGTGGCTCAGATTTGAAGTTAATGTCAAATTTCTCTAAATTTCTTTTAAATTTGTATTTTTTTTTTTATTAAAGGAACTGAAAGAAATACATTTTATTTTATTTTTGTATTCTCAGTTCTATCTCAAACAGTATGTTTAATAAACCCTAAACTGTAATAAATTTTTTTTACTTTTTATTATGTGAAAAATGCATAAAAATGTTTTTTTTTTGGCTCTCTTTTATGAAAATTCCACAATATGAGAAAAAGAAAAAACAAAATAAACACCAAAACGTCACACGTTTGAGGTCTTATAAAAGTTAAATAATAAAAAGCATTGGTATTGGTGATACTTGCCCTGTATCTACTTGGCATCAGATCAATATCCTAAATTCCCAGTATCGCACACCTATACCACAAAGCCTGACCATCATCTTAATCTCTTTCATCTTAATCTTTACCATCTTCTGTGGATTGCCTCTTTGAATCAAGCTGGGATTAAAATATTGATAATAATGATGGAAAATAACTTGTTACTATAGCAGCTGAATCCCTTCAGTGTGAGAGTTGAACTCCAGGGTTGAGCACATCTGATGGGGTTCAGTCAGTTGAACCATTGTTTTCTTTACTGTCATAATACTGTCTTGAAACTTCATGTCACTGATAATTTGGACTGAATTAAGCAAACAATATTTTACTTGGTCTGTTTTTGAAATATTGTTTTCATTTCTGGCCTCATCATCTTCCAGCTCTGGGCCTTCCAGTAACTCCTCCTGGAACCAGTCTGGGTGCTCAGATTGATACCTACGGAAAGCCTCTATAGCATCTCTAAGGGCCCTTCCTGAGGGGCACTCGTGGTATGTGTCCTCCGAGAGTCCATCGATTCGCTTGACACGGCCTGGTTCATGTTTTTCTGTGTTCAGGATTCGGAAGAACACCTCCTCAAACTGTTTCATCAGCTTGTAGCGAACTGTAATCTTGAAAGGCAAAGGAATATCTTCCTCAGAACAAACATCATCAAAATAAGCAACAATATACTTTTCAAATGATGCAGCCCGGATAAAATGAGGCACCAAGAGAGTGAGGGAAGGCGTGAGCGTGTCACCAACAGGCGAGAGGGCATCTTCTTTTAAAAAAACCTGCTGGCCTCCACACATAGCTCTCCATTTAACCTGTACTCCTTGGGAGCAAAGAATTAATATCTTATCTGAAGAGCTCTCTATTCGCTCCTTGTGCCACTCGAGCCACTGGATGCTCCCCAGTACTCCCAATCTGGTTAAATCCAGCAGGTCCAGAATCACATCTGTGCCACATTTGGCAGCAAGGAAGGCAGAAAACTTCAGAACAATGTTCTTATATAACAGGTGGTCGAGGGAGTAAAGGATCAGGACACGTTTTCTCTCTTGGACCTGAAAAATCTCTGGCTGTTGATTGTCAGCAGACGTAGGTGTAGTTTGAGATCCTGGGATAAAAACAAAGTCACCATTTATTATTATCGTTAAAAGCTGTTCTTATAAGGCTGGTGAATTTAAAATAAAGCTAACCTTCATGAGATGCTTTGTGCAGTAGGTAAACAAGAAAGCAAACGAAGATCAGCAGCAGTCCAATAGATATCTGAAAAGACCAGCTGCGTTCCTGCGCTGAAATATTAAGAAAGAAAATCAAAAGTAGAGAGAAAAACAACATTTTGGAATTGGAAAGTTATGCGACTTACTTTGCCACAATTGAACACTTTTCCTCACTGTTTTACAGTTTGTCTTGCAGCGAATAAAAACTGGCTGGATCTATTAAATAAACGATAAACAGTTATAGAAGCTCTTAAATTGTTTTATTAACAGGAAATTGTTCTTTATAAACATGCAGCTTGTTGAAATGCTTCTCACCATAATTATCGTTTCTCCTGGTGATAAATCACAATTTAACGTCACATTCAGAAATGTTCTGTTTTCCTGTTGATTTAAAGAACAGAATATAGTAGCTTCTCTCCTCAAAAAGAAATGATTTAGGAGTTTTTACCCAAGTCATTTACAGTCACAGATGATATTCTTACAGGCGCATCTCAAGCAAATTGAAGTGAACTTATTTTCACTTATTTGAGAGAGAAAAGCTTGTACAATGAACAACATAAATACTAGAGCAATAAAATATATCTTAAGGAGCCAATGCTTGAAAAATACATTAATTGTACAATACATCACTTATTAGCAAACAAAAAAACATATTTCTTCACACATACTAAGTATTTCATGCAGTTTTAGCAACAAATTAAGTAATGGTTAAACAAATAAAGAGACAAAGGAGATTAGTATTGACACACCGAATGATTTGGATAAAAACAAAACAAACAAGAACTGTGTTGGTATTCAGAGAGCTTTCCTGCTGGTGTGTTCAAACTAATAAAACACAATGGACTAAACAACTGTAGGTCACCATTCCTGACTGTGGAAGCTTCTCACTCAAATTTAGGCTAATTTGATTTGGTTAAGGCTAACTCCTCAAACTCCTGGTCTCAAAGGAAAAGCAAAATATGGAGACTAGGGGGAAGTTCAACTGAAGAAACTCATTCCTTTCCTACATCCACCTGTGGCACAGCCAATTAGCTCTAAACCACACCTCCACGAAAGCCAATCGGCATCCAGGTTCATCTTAAAAGGCCTCCGATATGCACTTGTCTGCTCCTGTGTGACACAGTTTTAACCCACCTCCAGCTCCTCCTCCACCATCGTAGCTAAAGCTTCATTAGAGTTTCATTCTCCCGGACTCTTACTGCATTTCCTGTCCCATCTTAACCGGTCCGGCAGAAGACTGCAATGTTGAGCCCAGTTCTGCCAGAGGTTTCTTCCCAACGGTGAGTTTTTCCTCTCCACTGTCGCTTTATACTTTCTTATCATGGACAGGTTCTCTCAACCTGTGTTATCCGAACTGGACTTCCATCTTCCAGGTCCCTGATTGAAGCTCTAAAATCAGCTCATGCAGTCCACTGGATCTCCCCATAAACCCCAGTTTCAGGCCGGGGGGGGGACAGCCCTATTCTTTGATTCTGTTCATGCATATCTATCAAAATTAAGCTCTATGTTTCCTGCCGAGGTCTGAGCGCCAAAGACAAAGTAATTGTATCAATAAATTTCTCCTAATTGTCTTTTCTCTTCATGTGAGTTTTTCAGATTGAAGTAGCTTTATTTAAAAAGAGGGCTTTCTCCCACTGACTATTGACACATGTGTCACATAACTTAAGGATGCAGGTTTGTAGGGTGTATGGTCACCTTTTTTAAAAGTTCTTTCCTTAAAATTTACTTTCCAATAAAATGTCACCTATTTCATATCATCATATAACATTTGAGACATCATCACATAACTCTGTCTGTAAAGAGACTTTAAAATTACATTTCAATTCCTGGATAACAGAAACACATTTCAGATGATGTAGCATGATTTGAGATGCATCTCTATACCTTGGACACCCACTCAGAACAATTCCGATTGCCACTCTGGATGAGAACTTGGTATCTCTCTGAATACTCCGATGAGTTAAATCCCACAAAAACCATATTTTTATTCTCAGAGGCAACAGCCGTTATTTTGGGATCCCACAGACTACCTAAGTTATCCAAAGACAAACAGAAGCAGCTTGTGTTTAGGTCCTTAATCTACTTTGTTAGGCATAAAAACAGGATAAACAAATTATTTACCGTTCTCCTGACACAGCTGGGCCTCTTTGATTCTCTTGTCTTCACATCCTGGCCGGTTTATAAATAATAAAAAAAGATTATATCTGATATTTATTACTATTATTACAAATAGACTTATTTCATAACACATTTTAAATGAAAAAAAAAAACATAAATAAAGTAGCTGGACGAAAAAGTATTAAGCAGTAATCCTAATGCAATAATTTCATGCATTTACTGTATTTCAGTAAAATATGTTCAAATAAAATGTAAATTACTGTTCTAAAGTTGTCTCTTTTACAATGAAAAAACAGTTGCAGGGCTACAGATTTGAAATAATTGCGATTATAGTTGGAATCTGAAGGTTTTTACCTGGTACAGTAATGTTTCCTGTGATCCTATGATGTCCCTTCTCAGACTCAGGAAAATTAAACACTTCTAAGGTGTATGTATGCTCAGGCTCTACAACAACATCCAAGGAGAAGTTCCACTTTGGAAAAAAAATAAAACAATGTTATGTATATGGATAAAAAAAGAATATGTAACATTCAATTCGGTTTAATTCAGCTTAGCTAAATAATGAACATTCACATCAAATGTAATTCTAATCCAATTTACAAGATGTTTGTGTGATATATTATGTAAAAATATTTTTATCGGCTATGATGCTAAGATTTCCAAAAGACAGAAACGAAAGCAGACAATCAATCCATCAGCAGAAAGCAAGCTGCGATTTGATGCCATACAGAAGCTTGAATGTTGTAAGCCATAAAAGTTTATATGATTGTAACATACCAACGATTTTACACCACATTTCATTTTGACTTCATGCTACAGTACGAGTTAGAGTAGCACATACTTTTCAAGTGGAAGTAAAATAATGCAAGGTTTTAGCTTTATTAACAAATAAAAACGAAATTATAAATAAAATGCAGCAAAACGAACTCCTTTCAGAAATGAGCAAATTAGCAAACAGCTGATCTGTTTGTAACTTAATGAGCTAAACTGAGATAAAATAAAAAATAAAATAAAAACAGCAGCATGATGATCCAGTAAAACAGCTGACAGTTCACAACAAGTTGGGGATGAGGAGTTGTACGCAGGGTTAGGAAAATCGAACAAATATGGCACAAATGGAAATGCAATAATGACTTTATGGTCCTAAACCAACAATCTGGACAAAACACAAAATGTTTAGAGCAGCAGAGAAGCCCATGGTACCAGGTGGGGGAATCTGTTTATAGGGCAGCCTTTTATAGAGACTGATAAGAAAACAATTCTTTCTTTCTGAAGTAGGCAAACTTCATGTCAGGATATACCAACCGAACAGGGTTAATCACCATCAACACATGTAAA